CCTTCGCTGCCTACCCAGCCTCCTGACATCTATCAAAAGCAATAGTAACTCGTCTTTCCATCTCGAGCCAACAGAGGACTTAGCTGCATGTGCTTGTCACATTGAGCGACTCGAAGCTCTTTGAAAAGGAGAGAACCATTTCTGTCGTGTTAAAAGCGCAAGAGCGCCAAAGCTTGGGAACGAGCCCATGCAATTCCACGCCTTTCACATCTTGTATTCATGAAGAAATTAGGTTCATTCTTTTGCTTTTGTTTCCGTAGACCAAACCAATTAACAGTCATTACGTAGCCTTACGCTGACGTATACCTGAAAGTACCAAAAAGTAAATAAATATTTAAAAAAACACGCAGATCGAACTCGGTCAAAACCTACGAGGCCGAATTAAAAAAAGAAGGTACCGCTGGACTCCTGCCCAAGATCCTTCAGAGGCTTCTCTTTCTGAGGATACGCATTTTCATATTAGATCATGAGTGGTCTGATAATACTACTCAGATCTCGATCAAACTACCTGGAATGAAAGGATTAACAAAAGGTACGTCAAGAGCATACACCTTTCGTTTAATTTCTGCTTTCGCTGTAGCGGAAGCAGCATTATTTCTTGAAAAATAAATTAAATTATCCCGTCCGCAAGAATTGAATTGCGTCATAACTTTAAACCGGCCAGATACTAACTGCAACCTCTGTCGCAGCCGTTGATGATAGGTGATGACCCAGAAAAGACACCTCATATCGATCATGACGTTCACGACGCGAAGAAAAAACCGAATTCAACGAGTTTGGGTTCGAGATAAGGTACTTGTGAATGGAACTAATGGAATTAATGGCAATGGCTTCCGATACAGATTTCGGATAAGCAATTGGGGGATTCCATCCCAGGGGCCAAATCGTGATGCTTCTCCTAGATAATGGAATTATCTCCCACGAGACCAGCGACGTTGCAGAGGCGGGGGGTAATGAGGCTGAAGCCCCCCTAAGTTGGTTCCAGCCCCATAATTCCTATCTAAATACATCTGCTACCCTCCTCCTACCCACTCCGAAGAGAATTTCTGGCTATGTTTGTCGGGAGATTACAGATATTGTAGTCCCCCTTCCCCCTCCCTTCGACCTTTGATGAACCCTGGCTACGCCATTGCACGAGACGACCCTAAAGAGCTGGAATATTTGTCGGAATCCTTTGTTCTTAGCCTCTTTTCACCTTCAATCACAACTGAAGAAACGCTCGAAGCCAAGACACACCTTGCTCAAGCGAGCGTAGCCACTCCTGGTGATGTCATATTACAGGAATGAACATTTTAACAGGAACCATGAGCACTGAAAGGGATGACGTGACCGGTCGGTAAGTATGGTGAATGACGTCATGGAATTCCAGCGTCTGCAATTTTCAGCTCTCTTATGCCCAAAAGTTCAATACTCACAACAGGAGTAACAACGAATGGCTTTTAATTGCACAGAGTAGACCATGTAGCTTCTGCTTCCGTGTGTCTACTGGAGTGGCAGCTGCACTATTTAAAAAAAAAAATAAGTATCGGACCTTAAAGTATTACAAGGGAGACATCATTAGACACGCCTGAAGGTGACGATGTTGTTTGAAATGAAATGTCTACGGTATTGAATTAGTGCATAAAGTTTTGAAATCTACTCAATTGAAAAGTTCAATTGGTCCTTTATTGTTGACAGTTTAGCAGATTTTGGCTATCAAGGTCCCAGTATGCTTGAAATATGCAGCAAACATCTCCTTAATAGACTGCACCAGATGAAATTACATTTATCACGCAGCTCAGAGATGTTTATCATCTATCTTTTTTTTGTTAGTAAAATGTCGATATATGTCAAGGAATAAACTTCTGTATATCAACACTGCGAGAATAATTCCCCTTCCTAAAACTCACGCATCCTATTGTTGACTGTTGAAACACGAGGAACCATAGTTTTTATGAGAATAATGCAGTCGGTATTATAATAATAAAAATTATAATGAAGGGGATGCCTATAAACGTCAGCTGTAACTTTTGAAATAAATAAATGCAAAGCCCCAAGCTAAGAACACCTGCAATGCCATCAACTGAGATCAGATTTCGAGCCGGTGCTGTCAGGATGTCCTCTGCGTCCTCGGCCATACCCTAGGAGTAGAATTCGCGAAAAGAAACGATTCCTCAACATCGACTATACATATCCCAATGTCCTCACACCATATTCAACGTTTTCCCCAGATTTCAACGTCTACTCGATGTCGTTTTTGCAGACTGGGACTTTTATGGACTCGGCGGATCCAGTGCTTCTTCAGGGTCTCATTAATAGCTTAGATTTTAATGGCTTACCGAACCTCTCTGAAGCAGTGGCTTGTTCATGAGACGCTTGAAATTTCTTCCTTGCTATGCAATAACTCGGCATGCTGTGATGATTTGGCTAGGCATTAGATACGACGGTGTCTGGCATCTTAGTAGGCCGTGAGAACCGGAGAGAGCACGATCGCATCCAAGGGTCTACGAGGATACAAGCTTGGCCTGCAGGGCTATTATGAATCACGGACACTCGAAAGGGGGAAAAGTTACTCCACCACGCTGCAATCCATCATCACTTGCGGAGTGATGGATTCAACAATGGCTCTCTGGCCCAAAAAATCGCGCGTGCGAAGTGAACTTTGTCTCTTCCTGGTCTTAGCTCTTTGACACGATGCAGATAATATTTTACATGCGGATTCACGTCCAAGGTCCTACGGCGTGCGTGCGAGACATGAGAGTTTGCCTGGTCAATATTTAATCGCTGAACTTGTTGCGTGATTCCAAAGGGCAACACGACGTATCGAGTGCCTTTGGCAATCCAAGTCGACTGGTTCGAAGAAGTTACTTTCGGCAAGCTCCTTGAGACGAGAGTACCCACTCTCTGTCTTTAGCTTGTGGTGGCTGGTTGGGCGGAACTGCGAGCGCACTTGAGGTGCACCACGCCCCTCGGCTACCTAGAGGCTACATCGCGAGCACACTCATTGGGTCCGTTCATTAGCTTACAACGGATCAGGATATTGCCCCATCACTGTATACTTTGGCCTACTAATCGCTTGTCTGTTCTCGTTTGCCTTCTCTCTTTTTCTGCCGACAACATCTGGACAACATTTTCAATGCCCGTGGCTCCTACACCCTCCTAAAACGAGAGGACATTAGTCGTCTTTGTTCCTTGAGACGTCAACAGTCCAATACAGGTATGAGAATCTAAGAAGAAAAGAGGATTGTAGCGAAACAGTGATTCTCATTGACAGCATGAGCGCGCTTCTAAATCGGGTTGTATATCTGACAGAGAAAAAAGGGCGAAGATTCTCATGAGTTTTCAGAACTGAAGATATCAAGTTCTTACTTATTGAAAAAAAAAGACAATGCATGGGGGAAGGAAGGAACCTGATATCTCGGACATCGCATGAGATCGCGAGGCCTTCACTTACCCTCGGGGCAGCACGAGCTTCTCTCAGTCAATACGTGAGCTCAGCTTTCGATCGCTGAGGACAAAGACGATGCACATAGGGAAACAGGCAGAGAAAAAATACATTTCATAATACGATGACAGACTGGACATCGCCAGGGGAAGAGGAGACTGCCAGCGGACGAGGGGAAAGATATCCATCAGTTTTCCCAGTCTCGACCGATGGAGATTTCAGCTGAAGCAGGACCGGAGATAGATGTAGGCAGTGCGTAAGCGGCCCATAGCCAGAACATCGTCGGCCGAGTTCGAGAGATCAGGAGAGTGGTGGCACTTCAAGCCCCTCGTTCCCGAGGCGGAGCGCGGCGTCCCGAAGCAGAACGGACGAGTGTAGGAGTCCCAACCGCTTTACCTGAAAGGATCGTCCCGAGATGCATGAAAAAAAAAAACAAAGAAGAAAACGCACCATCGTCTCTTTCCCGTTGTTTAGGTGTACTAAATTATTGAGAAACTTCCGAAAAAAGAAATTGTTGGCATGGATATATTAATGGCTGGAGGGTTACATAGGTGTATCCATTTGATGTCATTAGAACCGACAGCTCAAACAGAACTGCAAGAATTTTGAAAACATGTTTTTTTTTCGTTATGGGTTACCTTGGTCAAGAAAGACTTAATGCTAGTTTAGACTACCTCAAGTGAAAGGTATATCCACAAATTTCTGCCCGAACCAGATGCGTCCAAATTTTTATGGTGTATTTCTGCAGATTTTTCCATCACTTCTCGCCCCATTATTGTTCGTATCTTTTGATCCCATGACAATCCTAAATTGAATTTGGTGCATCCAAAGATAACAATTTGGGAATGTCATGCGAGTTTCTTGCGGGGGGAATACAAATTTCTTTTCCTCCAAATTTGCAGGTCAAAGGTCAAAACCCTAATTTCATCTCTACGTTAATTAGACAAAGCTCATGGGCACTTGAGTAAAGATGAACAGGCCGGAAATTGGTACATTCGGGCATTTTTCAAATCGCAGTACTTAAAAAAGCCTTGACCGAGGAAGCTAAAAATTAACATATGTTGTTTCTCAATGGACCCTAAAAATCCACAAAATTTCGTTACAATCGGAGGGGGTCAGGTAAATGGCTTGGTTGAAAGAATGACCTCAACAAAGGAGCACCTTACATTCAGCAGATGCAACGGCGAAAGGAAAAAATGCGTTAGAAAAAATCAGCGTCCGTAATTGAGCGCTTATCATCCCGCCCGCTATCAAATATTGCGCGCACTGTTCAGGAAGGAGAGGAAAAGCATTAGCCTTGAGACTGAGAGATGAGGAGGTGATGGTGCAAGACAACATCCCTGACTCACATATGGTACCCTCCTGTTGGTGTTTGCGTCCCATCCGCCCGCCTGGCTGTGGAAGCCCTGCCCATTCGGCAACCAGCCCTAGTCCTTATTTGGATACGGAATGCCGTTCGCCCTCACCTGCAGCCTAACGTACTCCTGACGTTACAAGGTGAGAATATGTGGAGTTATTATTGTCAAAGACAGTGAGTAGAGTAGCTTACGCACAGATAGACAGGAACTGGTCTACGATGGACGTAGGCCTAAGTGTAGGCTACGGCTAAGCCTACCCTTACAATGTTTTTTGAGACTCATTCATGCGATGTTCCTCAGGCAGGAGTATCAAAGTAAAGTGTAAAATGCTGTAGACCAAATACAATTGTAAACTGCCCACATGCATCGTGAAGCTAGGTCAGTTGAAGTCACTCTGTTACCAGGCAACAAGGAGCATCGTCAGCCTGGTGGACATCAACAGTAGCAACCCATGAGGCTGCTGTCAAACCTTTTTATTAACAGCCTCCATTTCTGCCCACACTTCCATTGCTGTTTACAGCAGTTAGGTCTGCTCCTGTCACATTCCTTATTTGATCTTCACTACCACCCACTGGGTGGTGGGAGTTAGGCTTTTTAGGTCTGAATATAACACTATTATACTAGTATACTATATTAGTCTGTGATCAACCCTTTATTCAAAATGTCCACATGATTTGGTATTTTAGGTATCCACTGGGTGTTTAAGCTTGGCATCGGTGTTTCTGGATTGTATTTTTTCATTCCTCTCAGCAACTTTGTTTTTATTAGTAATATCCTGTATCTTATGGAATTATATTTTAGTGAGTTTTTTTTCTGGGATCATTCAATTTTCTCAATGCCTCTGGAGTGTAATTTTTTGTTGGAATTCTCTGAATTGCTTACCTCATGGTTATCACAAGAACTACAGAAATTAGCTTGTCAATTTTCAGTAATTATATTTTTGTAATAAGTTTAGACCAAGTGACTTGAAAGTATGAAATGTGTTTGTCTTAATTACTGCCATGATGCCTATTCATATATACAGGGTGATTATAAAGAAATTTGCCATGTTCAGTGCATCTGATCTTGTAAACAGTTTGATGCAGGATTGTGAAAATTAATACAAATGTTTCAGGTGCCATGGGGAAGACAATGCTGTACATGTCATGCGTTGTCAACAAAAGTGAACAAATGACCCACTTATGAAAATCAGTTATGTTCAATGTGTGCTTCTCAATTATCCACTATGTATTGCATTCAAAGGATAACAGACATGAAAGCTGCACATTGCATATCCTCTGGCGTGCTGGCTACATCCCTGACAGTGGCATCTTAAAGGTCTGGAATTGTGCATAGGGTCCCTTGGTACAGGTGAGAGTTCAGAAACTCCTACAACCAAAAGTCTGTTGGTGTAAAGTCTACTGAACACAGTGGTCATTCATAAGGAAAATGTTTGGAAATTATGTGATCCTGGAAGTGCTCCTGCAACATGTGCATGACAAGGGTGCAGTGCCAATGTGAGGAGTGATGCTATCTTCCACAAAGACTATGCTGTCCAGCACATCTTGTTGCTGCAGAGTGGAAATGACAAAGGTTGCTAGCACGTTCACTGAACCTTGCGACAGCAGGGACCCCATGCACAATTCCAAACCTTTAAGATGCCATTATCAGGGAGCTGGTCTGCACACCAGTGAATATATGACATGCTGCTGTCACATCTGTTATCCTCTGAATGCAACGCATAGTGGATAATGGAGGAGCACACATTGAACATAACTGATTTTCATTTTCATAAGTGGGCCATTTGTTCACTTCTGTTGACAACGCATGACATGTATAGCATTGTCTTCCCCATGGCACCTGTAGCATTCATATTAATTTTCATGATCCTGTCTAACTGTTTACAAAATCTGATGCACTGAACAAAGGAACTTTCTTTATAATCACTCTGTATATATACTAGTATATATATTTTTTTTTATAGTTTGGCTTACCTGTCTATGCCAGGTTAATTTACTTTGTGTTGATCTGATTTGTGATGCATTCATGCCAACACCAGGTTGTACCATGTAGCTAAAGGAATTAAGAACCAGAAATGCTTCAGATATGGAGCTGGGAATCCTAAGAACAACAACCCATAAAAAAAATGAGTTTATTTATCTACAAATTCTCTCAACTTGGTGTCATTCATCTGAATGCTGTATTTGCAATCATTTTGAGTCTCCTCTATAGTTATAACTATTTGCATATCATAGGTTACAATACTTACTGGGTCAGTTAAATGAAAAGAAGAATTAATTTCTATTGGCTATGCATGCAGTTTTTATGTGAAATATTCTCCATGAGCATTGAGATGATTTTCCCACTGCTCAGCCAGCATTTTTTACAGCCCTTTAGTAAAATGGCATTGGCATCTGGTATCACTGGCCCCTCAAAGCCTTCATAAGGCCAAATATATGAAAATTACTCTGTGACAGATCTGGACTGTATGAAAGATGATCCAACCTCCTCCAGATCCTCAAACCCAGGTTTTGAACGGTGCCTACTGTTGCACAAATGGAGTGAGGTTGTGGAGAAGGATGATGCCCTTTGTCAATGGTCCAGGGCACTTGCTCTTGATGGCATGACAAGATTTATTGTGCAGCATGTTGGAGTATCACTCTGAGTTGACTGGTTTCCTGTTGGGCAGAAAATCCAACAGGATTGGCCTGTGACTTTCAAGGAACAGTCATCTAGACTTCCCCAGCTGAAGCAGTTGCATGGAATTTTTGGGTTAGAGAGATTGAGAATACCTCCACTGCATGCTGGCAAGTTTTGATTCAAGCTCAAATGATGACACCAGGTTTCATCACATCCAGAATTCGGATCCAAAGCTGCCCCCTTCAGGATGGAAGCACTGCAGATATATGAGAGAAAGATCCATGTGGACATTCTTCTGGTCATTAGTTGTGCTTTTTAATATGCATTTGACACACACTGAATAGTACTGGAGCTGATCTTGGATGATTGTGTGCACAGACCCATGGTTAATCCTCCCTTCCATGACTATGGCATCCAGAGACATGCATCTGTTTGCTTTGATCACTTCATCCACCCTCACAATGTTTGTGCCCATCATGACAACATTTTGCCTATCAGAGTTTGGGTTTGTCCACAGCCGTGAGGTGTCTGCCATGGAACATTTTGCACAATTCATATGCTCTTCTCTGGGACAAACATGCCTCCCCCATAAAATGCAACCATTCTGTAATGGATATTACATGGTATCATACTTTCTACCCATAAAAACTGAAGCTCTCTGATGTTCCTTGGTACCCCTTCAATGGAAGTAGCTATTTTTGCCAGATAAAAGCACATGCAATCTTCCACCAGAAGCAATGCCAATATTTTCAATGCTACTGCAGCATTTCTCACACCTGTGTACAATTTCATGAAGATGTGTCATTCATATTGTTTTTGGTCGACTGACCCTAGTTTAACAGCTAGGTTAGATTTAGCTGTCATTACAGTGGTCTATACATATAGTTCAAGCTAGTCAGGTGTCTATAAAGTGGCTCTTATTTCTTCTTTTTTTTCAGATGCTGCCAAGAAAATGTAAGCCTATAGAGGAAAATGAGGATTCCCTTAAATCTCAAACACTACAGTCAGGCCGGAAGCAATGGACTTTGCAGAGTAAGGAGAGCCTCATAATTGCATCTTTGTCTATTAGACACATGATTATTGGTATGAGGCATTGACACAATGCTTTGTTGTTTCCCATTTGCAGGTGGCCCAAAGAGCTCGCTTCGTCGTTTACGATCTCGACTAGCAGAAGATGGCTGTCCAGAATCTCAGGTCATCCTTGCCAAACAGATTCTTCAAGAAGACCATGAGAATGATGAATTTATCATGGATGCCAGAGACTCAGCAGAAGTAGCCATTTATTGGCTCCTCAAAGCAGCCAATCAAGGGAATGAGGAGGCTTTTTCCCTTCTTGAGGAATGCATGAAGACCAAAAGTGGGATCTCTCATCACAACTACATTGATGTTAAAACGTGTCTCCAACAGTCTCCTGAAGAAAGGGCAGCCTTTAGAGCAGCTGTTGATATATTCCAAAGGTCTGTCATCAACACTTGCTGCTCTTGTTTGTTGAGTATGTTTGAGGAAGTGCTATTGTTTCTCAGTCTATGTTTTTGGAAGTTCATTTCATTGTTTTCCTGTCAGGTTTTGGGCAATGTGTATTTTTTCGTTTAATCATGGAAGTAGAGCAATTTAATTTCATTGTTCATCCTGAGTGGCATTTTGGCATGGTGTGTCTAGGAAGTGAAAGTGATACTTAGTCAGCAATATCTTGTTCATACTGTTGTTGAGTCAATGTTGATACTGGGATTACATGTATAAGTGGGGTTGAATATTTGCTGAAAGTGTTTCAGCAATATAATGTGGATCATATGAAAGACCCGTCGGATAACTTTGCTTGCTTATACATTTTTGTATCCAGTTCAATTTTAAGACTTCATCTCTTCAGACAAATATTGGTGGCATGCATATGCAGCATTTCCAAAAATATGGGCCATGCAACTCAGTGGCATACAAATCACTCTTGAGTTTTACTGGAATAATTAATACCTTGTGGTTCTGGATATTATAAGGGTAGCCCAGTCAGCATCATGTATCATGGAAGATTGGAAGATTGAACCCCTCAGCAATTGCTGTTTGTCATACACCTAGCTGAGTCATGGTTTTTGCAGCTCAATCTGCCAAAGATATCTTAAATAGCTTTCAATTATTTTTATTTCTATCAGGTAAGGAGACCCTTTACCTGTAAAATTTTTCATATCATGAACTTGTTCTCAATCTCGTCTATCTTGGCAGCAAAAAAAGATGCTCACAGGTACTGTGTTCTGGTGTGTTTTGATGGATGACTTGCCTCATCTGTTATAAGGTTTATAGTTTGTCCTTTTTGCTTGAAAACGCCAAGAAAGCAAAGGTTACTGTGTAGAATTTCAATTTTTATGACTTTCCTAAAATACATCAGCATCAATACGGCAATGTTTCCTCCAAAAGGGGGGCAACATATATTCATGGAAAACACATGTAACCAGCTTGTAAGTCACTTAAAATCTTGGTAATAGTAAATTTTCAATTTGCATCGAAGAAAGGATATAATTTCAGCTACCATCACTTAGGCAGTCCTGCATCCATGTACTGGGACAGTCAGATTTGACATGAGAGTGTGTATTGCTTTGAGAAGAGGTGGAATTGGGTAGGGGTTGAGGACCAAGGGGACATAATTTCTCCTGCTGTGTCCAACTCAAATGGTGAACCACCCCACAAGGCTCAGTATGGCCATCATGGTTTTCCCTAACAATCAGTTTAAGCCTTTCACTTTTGGTTACCTTTTAGAAAAATTAAGGACTCTACCTTCCCATTTAACAAATTTAGTTTTTTTTTTTAAATTTGGTTTCACCCTGAGTTGACACACTTGATTAAAGGACAGTTCATTCTGTTGAAAGAGCTCCAGATTGACTTAGCATCTCTCTTTGTAGTTTATGCCGAGGAGAAGACTTCATAACCAGTAAGCAACTTGAAAAGAGGATGCAGGAAGTTCTTCAAGGTAAAGGAGATTGCTTAATGTCAGCATCACATGGTAAGTCATCCCATTGATGAGCTCCATCTAGTGCTTGAGTCTTTATATGTTATTTTGATATGTTTGTTATGTAGAAATATACTTCACTTTTTCATGTGCCCATGGTAATAAGAGTGCTACTAAGGACTGATTTGATGCTATTGCAGAGACCTTGGAAGAGTTGTATGGAGGAGAGAAACTGACAAAGGAGCATTTGATACAAGCAGCAGCATCCTACACAAGAGGAGAAATGCCTGTGCTTGCCAATATCCTGAAGGGAGCTCAAACCAAGTCTGTGGGCTCACACATGTACTATCTGATGATTGATTCTCTTGCCTGGCACGGATGGCAGTTTGTGCTATGGTTTCTCCCCATCAACCGTCTTCAAGTGACAGTCCTTTTCCTGCTATACTACATCCTCTCGACAGACATCCTTGCATATTACCTCCCTTGTGTTATGCTCTATGTTTCTCTTCTGGCTGCAATGTCAGCTACATGCCAGCTCATCTCATGGAATAGGCAGTTCAACAGTTTCCATGTATGGTCAAAACTTTTCTATACCCATTGTTCATTAGTAGATGTAAGTAGTGCTGAAAACAAAATGCAGGGAGCACAGATGCAAACATTTGTCATATACTTCACTTCCATTGTTTCTTTTCTCTGCATATACCCATTTGTAGATGAGTCCTGGTTGGTGAATCCAGAAATTGGGATTTTTGCCATGATATTGTTTTGTTGCTGCTGCTTTGGAATGCCAGTTAATCGGAATAAGTTCTTGATGGCATCAACGTGTATTCAGGTTCTGGTGAAGACCTGGCCAGCTGTGATCCTATTAGCTCCTGAGACATTGTCCTCCATTTTGGGGTCAGCTCCTGTCTTCCAAGTGCATTTATTCCATGTGTGCACCTTAAATTTGAATCCTGTGTCATGTTCCATGGTCTTTATCCCAATGTGTCTTTACCGTGCCTTAAGGAAATCCAGTCTGAGTGTGTATATTGGACTCTTCCCCTATTTGGTGACAATGTCTTGGTTCTATGTTGCATGCTTCTTCTTGTCTCAAAGCAGCCTATCTGGCCTGCTGCCATCTGCTGTATGCAATGTGATTCTTGGTCTTTCTTTCCTGCCCTTCTTATCCTTGACTGTGTCTCAGCTTTTGACCCTGATATTTCTTCTAGCTTGTCTGGTTCCAGCAGCTGCTTCAATTAGGTACCTGACCTCTGAAGATGTGATAATTCAGGCTTGTGCTGCCTTTGTGATACTCATCGGTCTCTTCCTTTTATTGTACTGCGGACATCGGGATCGTTGGAATCTCCGACGTCTGGATTTGATTGTGAAGGGACTCTGTGCTGTCTCATTGTGTCTAGTGTTTTTCCCAGCCTTGAGACGCCTATCTTCAATAACAACTACAAAGTCAGATCCCCTGCCGCTTTTGTCTTGGAATACTTACAACCAGCTCTGCCTTCCTAGGGGAGTTTTCACACGAGCACAGCTCCAAAGTTCTTGTCGGTTTCTTGAAGGTGCCCTTGTGGAATGGGAGGGAACTGTGAAAGATGTGTCCCTGGTTGAGTCCCCAAGTTTCATCAACAAAATGCTGTCTGTATTACCTGCTTCTCTGCAAGAATCTATTGAGTGCATGTTAGGAACCCCTATTGAAAACAACCCCCACACATTCGCTCATTTGGATTGTGGGACTGAGGTCCTCAATTTGAGAAAGCTCAATGTGTACAGAAATCAACGGTGCATCTATCGAGGCTGGGATCGTCCTGAGTTCCTCATCACAATGAGCATGTCATCTGGCTTTTGGAACATTGGCTCAGAGCTTCTACTTCAAGCTGATCATGTTTTCCAAAATTTCACTGCTGCCCTTTGTCCTGGCGATAAGATTTTCTTCTCTGCAACTCTTCATTCCAATCTTGGAAATTCAAGGCCAGAGTTGATAGTCAAAGGATTAAAATGTGAAAAATGCTTTCATCCGATAATTCCCATTGCTGTGCCTTCACCTGAACCTTACTTGAGCATTCCGCGTCTATTGAACTTCCTACGAAATGTTTTTAATTTTTTTTGGGAACCACTCATAGAATGGGGCGGTACTGGTTCCCAGGTCTTGTGATAGTGCTTTCCTCGCTGACATAGTTGCATCCTTCCCAGTCATTCCACCTGTTTCATCCTGTTCTTTCAGGAGTTTTCAGGAGTGTGAGAATTAATTCCAGTCTTCCTAGTCACTGTTGGAGCAGAATCAATAGCTGTGAATGATAGTAAAGACAGTGATCATCTCCTTTCATTGAATGGAAACTAATGATTATGATTGTGCTGATGGTTTCTGCTTCTATTGCCTGTTGGTATTTGCTTCATAATTGGAGGGAAAATTGAATACAGATGCCTGGATTTTAATTACTTCAGTGATCTCACTTGAGTTATTATGCTTCATAAAATTCTAGAGAAATGTCAAAGGTGTGGTCCCTTACATTTCCCACATATGTATGTATTATTCAACAGATTGGCCTCCAGGTAGTTAGTGGTGCATGACTAGCCTTGAAAGTCCAATGCACAACTAAGGAGCTGCTATGAAGTGTGTTTTTTACAAAGGATTTTTGTTACAAGTCTATTATATTCCAGATTGCCTTCATAGCTGAAATTTCTACAGGGTGTTTCAAAAGTAACTGTGCAGTAGAGACATAACCAGTCTTATGAGAAATATACATCATTCAGAAATATGTATTTAATGTTAGTGATAATATCCAACAAAAACATAAAGCACATGAGGGATAACAGAAGACTTCATTTTGAACTTTTCATTCCAGTTCAGCAGCTAGTTCATAGTGATTGTCAAAAATGTAAATGGCTATTGTGTTTCAATGCACAGTTTGTTAATTTTGAAATACTTTGTATATATGAAAGAAAGTCTTATATGCTATGGAGCCTGAGACTTAAAATATCAGTACATTTGACTAGATTGATTGGATCATGGAAGCAGGCTTGCTTGTCAAAGAGTGAGTCAATTTGGATGATGTACACAGCTGAATTAAAAACTTTTTCCCAATATATTTTAAATACCAATAGACACTGAAAATATTTGGATGGACTTAAAAAAAAAAGCTTTTTGCTTTGTGTGGAAGTATAGGGTAAAATACCCAGTGATGGGCCACAGCACATAAAAATTCTTACAGCTAAGCTTCCATTGCACACCTACCCCTGTTGTGACATAGGCTTGCAACATGCAAGCACATACACACTTCAGAGGTGTTCATGCTACAAATGCCTAGTTTTTGGACTTTTCAGGCGACATGGCCATCACTGAGTACCTGCCCTTAACAGGCCCATTACTGGTTGTTTTACCCTATATAAACAACTTAGAACTCGATCATATATGTTTTGCCTAGCTATGTTTGGAACCTTTTTCCATTGATGAAGAGGTTTTCTTCTATCTGGTTCCATCTCAACTCCAGTGAAAAGCAATGGAACATTTCCAAAAAGAGGAGAGACACTATCTTGTAAGGCATAAACATGAAGCAGTAAAAAGATATTGACATTCATGAGAGTTGCTTGTAATGTAATGGTGTGCTTGCTTAGATGGACTTCTAACAAGGGCAAATATTTGATGTTTTACCATGGCCCCAGCCAGAGCACGAGTCTTGCAGTGTTGCAAGTAAAACTAGAGCCATCATCCTGCTTTATATTCCTCCTATTTTTCAAAGAAGCAGCTATTGTGTAACACTTTAGTTTCGTAATTGAAAAAGACACATGCAGCAAGATTTTGCAGACTGGTAGTTTCACATATGTAAACACTTGTTAAGGATTAGGCTAGGATTGTAGCAAAGGAGCAAATGCAACTTCAATGTATGGACTTGGCGTAGAAAGTTTTTCTGGGTTTCCAGTTTCAATTGAATGAAAACCCATTTCTTGGTGTGGTATACCCATGTTGTCATGACTGATTTGCCTCATTCCTTCATTTTCTTCTGCATTTTACTGAGTAAAATTAATGTACTGAAACTAGGTTTGATACTTCATCTCAGGTTAACTCAATTATGCCAAGACCTCTCTTTGATGCTGGCTATGGATTGAATCTTTCTGTTAAGGGCCATGGGATCCTATAGTGGATTGGTAGCTGTATGTTAATGGATTGTAAGCCTTCAACACAGAAAGGAAGGTCTCACATCCTTGGGCAGCAAGGTCAAATCTGGTCTCTGGTCAATTTTGGCGTAAAAGAGTTGAAACTCTTTCAGAACCACCTTTCCGGTGGCATGTTTGTGTATCCTGACTATTAATGTGGAGAGTTGTCGGATAGTGTGAAACTGTGATAATGATAAAAAAATTTATAGCATGCAGGTCTCTGGGCTCTGTACTTGAAAATCTGTGATGCTTATCAGACGAGAACAATTACTGCATCTCATTTGATTAATTTTTATGTTTTAATGTCAACGAAACTGATGCTCATCTGTGCTCATATTTTCTTGGATGAAGTTCCAAAAATGTGCCTGACGAGGAACAGTATCAGCGTAAGTGAAATTTGGGACAGAGCCTCATCCATTACATATTAATTGCAATAACATGACAGTGTACTGTATCCATATTGTGCTATTTGACAGCCGTGTCTTTTATGGAATAAATTTTTTTGCCTCCAGGGTGCTTCTCGATTTTCTTCCTAAAGGAGAATCCATGTTCCATCGGAGTCTTGAAGCCTCGTCGTGCTCGACAGAAGGAATATGAACTTGTATAGATGATTCTGAGCTACGGGGCCTTCTTATCAGTAGGTACACGATGGGAGATGGGGGACTGGTTCTTCTTGTATATCTATTTAGGATAAGGAGGAGCGTGGGGGGAAGGAATGCCATTTGTTGAATTGTCCGGGAAGGATTTCCCCCCAGGGAGCAATGGTCCCCTCAATTGATGAACATTCCCACTTGAAGAATGGTCCAGAACAGGAGAGGCATTAAAAGCATAGCTAAGAACCCCCATCCCCCCCTCTTGAGGCCCTTCCCTCGCCCTGTCCCCCTTTCGATTAATATAATCCCGACCCATGCCATTGGCCTCCTCTCTCCTGGGTCATCTCTGATGTGATAGGAGAAGCCCGTTGGTGTGAACAGGAGCGAAGATGTGATCCAGCAAAAAAAAGGAAAGAGAGAAGAGATTTAGAAAGAGGGCTTAGAGAAAGATGAAATGGGGAGGAAAATCCTAGGAAATCCACCCATGGCTTCCCTCTGTCTCCCTCCTCACCACCAAATCATGAAACGTTTCTTCCCCCTCTTCTCTTCTTTCTCTCCGTAATGTCCACGACGAAGCCCTATTATCTCACCAATGGCTCCGATCGTGTCCCGGAGGGATCCCATGCTGAGGTATAAAAAAAAATAGACAACCAAGGGACCTTGACGAAAATTAAGAAGGAAGGAAGGAAGATGTTGGTGACATGCAGGATGTCATGCGTTGAATGGCATCGCCAGGAAGTGCATTAGCCCCCACAATGCATGTCTCCCTCCCGTCTCCTTAAAAGCATAAAAATGAGGGTTCCTATATTTTCTCGATTATCCCCCTACCCATCGTTCCCTTTACTTTTAACCTCCTTTCCACGGAATCCATTCACCTTCCGAAAAGGGAGGAGGGAAAAGAACAGGAAGAGTCTCTTCGTGTCACCTCATTAATGAAGCAGTCGAGAAGGGAGGGAGAGAGAGAGATGATGAAACCCAGTTGGACCATAATTACGACCAAGGTTCTCTTCCTCCTTTCCTCCTCTCCGGTCTCTCATTCACGTTGATGAACGCGAGGAATTTAATAAACGTACATTTATATATACCGCAGATGGGATCGATAGGGGTTATGCTAATCCTTCTCCTGGGCCTGGGGTATCTTTTCTCCTCCTGAGAATGCAAACTTAATTTATGGGGAGCCCTTGCAGTCCCCCTTGTGTGCAATGAATCTCAGATATGAGACAACCATCGTGCAATCAATGGCGGCCCAGCAGAGAGAAAGATAGAACCACCGACTGGACATCGATCCCTTTTTCCGCTTTTTCTCCTCCATCCCTCTTGCATCGTATTTATGTCTTTCGAAATCCTGGGATTTCCCTGGAAATTATACCATTAAAGGAAAGGACCCATGGCATATATCCCAGAAGCATTAAGAAGAAATAGATCAACCTCGCGATCGGAGAGAAGGAGGCGTATCCCATTGTCACATGCAGTGCTTCCTTAAGACAGCACTTTTCAACCCACGTGTCGTAAGAAGCCGACAGGGATGCTGCCAGGCTTTTTTCCCCCCTTTCTCATAAAGAGGATGGGAATGCGAGGAGGCGACAAAGCCCCTTAGCCATGGATCTTCCCTTGGATTCATGGGAAGCTGCTTCAGACCTCAGTCGACTGATGCATATCGGTATTCTACCTCGTCTTTCAGTCTACAGGTATGCCGAGCGAGAGACTCGGGAGCCCGTGAGATACAGTATCGAGTTATCCGGTCTTTTGTCTTGACTACTCGTAGCATGGACGTGGTTTCAAGGAGCCCTCGGATCGACTGGTACTGTTCATTGGAAATTGAACATGGTTTTTCGTGCTCTGTCTTCGGCTATTGGTGCATTACGTGGTACATACACGGCCTTTCTTCGGAATGGTTTCTCTTCCACAATTCAGGAATCATGCACTAACTTGTTTTTCTTACTGATACTTTCACTGTGCTTTATATTCCAATCCAGCATGGCAGAAGAAGGCATGCATTGCAGATAACATTTAGCCAAATAGTTAAAAATAATAGAACAATAGCGAATCTCGAAAATGGCGTCTTCGTATGAAGTAATTCACGCATACCATTTGAAAATTAAATCAGAATTTAGAGGTCCTGGAACCTGCGTACAGTTTTTTTAAATTTAAATCAGACTCTTAGTATTGTCTCTGGAGATTCAGGGGACCGTCGCCAGTATCTCAATACACAAAAAGGTATAGTTTATGATGAGACGTTGAGAACTACTGTCGAGAAAGTAAATGCCCTCAGAAAGCATGCAGAATAACTCCATACGACGCCCGCGACGCTCCACGCGTTGCCCGCTGAACCTAGGTGGCAGACTCAACTCACTGCATGCCAGGCTGTGCGTCTTAGAACTTCCAAACTGGAGATGGGCTCATTTCTTCTATATATTTTAGTTTATGCCTTCAATTACTCCATAATTTCTACGTCTTGGACAATATTACCGGAATTTGTTAGTTTTTATCGTTTAATCGAATGATATCGAATATCAAGGCAATTATCTTCTGCTTTGAGCTGAACGCTGAGACATTACTGTGTTCTAATTGTGCGAGAGGTTACTGTGCAGTCTCAAAACCTTACAAATTAAATCCGGAATAGAAGGGACACCTTGCCAATAGGTACAGGTAAAGACACGCAATCGTGCGCCACAAAAATTCTCAGTCTCAATCAAGGCCGAAAAACTGAACGAGACTGTTTTACCAATGGTAAAAAGGAGTCTCCTGTATAAGATGCTGCGGGACAGGGACATGGGGGTCGTGGAATCAAGCAAATAAGTTGGGCAAGGGGATGGAAGAGTTCGAGGATGCAGGTCAAGTTGAGGACGAGAGCGAGTGGCGAGAAAGTACAAGTTCGAGTGGAGAATGGATAATTACAGGAGTGCGAGAGGAGACATTCGAGTACGTTTCGCTCCTTTAAGGTCAGATTCGAGAAGGGATCTCACAGGCGAAGTCCGATACAGCAAAAAAGAAAAATAAGGAAACAGAGGAAAGGAGGACGAGGGACGTGTCGTCAAATTCATCTTTCCGAGCTCTTAAAGTCCCGCGAGTGATTGATGTGGTGAAGAGAGCAATAACGTCGGCAGCTTCCTTTTCCCGTCTTTTTCTTTTCTCCCCTTTTTTTAATCAGTCTTACAGAAGCAGAGGAACCAGACAGGGAGCCAACCAATCATTATGCCCTTCTTCTCGTCGCCCTCTTCTCCCCCATCAGTCGAGGGGAAACGTGTGATCACCGTGATTCACCGTTCTCTCCCTGGAATCCTCCCAGCTCAGGACGGAGAGGAAGGATATGTGAAACCTTTGGAGTTCCATACGACCCAGGGTAGAACCCGAGATTAGGGGAAGGAAGGAAGCAAGGAAATTCAAGGAAGCCGATCAGGAAGAGGGAGAGACGCCAATCAAATTCCGGGGAATTGGCATGCCGAAAGGAACCCGCAGGAATATTAGTCACGCGAAATTGGGAAGAATTAGCCCCTTCATTTGAGCTGGTAATTTCAGCCTAATTGGATTATGTGTGCATGCAGGAAAGAAGGAAGAAGCCAGAGGGGAAAGAATCATCTCTCTTTCTCCCCTTATTCTTCCTTCTTCCCATCTCAGATCAATGGGAGAAAGAAGAGGGATGAGAATCACACTTTTTTTCTGCTTCCCTCGAGATTTCCCTTCTCTCCTTTGAGACAAGGGTTGGGGATAATGAAGACCTGTCCACTTACTTCCTCCTTTTACGCACCTCTGGGATGAAGACTCGATTACAGAAAAGTATAAAGGATAAAAATAAGAACCTCTAATCTAAAATGGAAATGGTTCACTTTTATAATGACAAAGTTGAAGAATTAGGGGACGTCTCGGTCGAGGCGCCGGACTGGGTGACTTCCAGTTGAGCCACGATTCAATTTTTGCGACGGGGACCTGATCTCGATCGCATGCTATGTCGGAGAAAAGTTCCGTAGACGATGAAGGATGGGCGGCGAGGGAGATAAAGAGCCGTGATTCGAATTAGGGAGAGGAATGGAAGGAAGAAGGGAAGAGGGGAAGGGTGACGAAGGGGAGAGAAATCGGGGATGATGGAGATACGAGGCGGCCCCACCGCGACCGTTTCTCTCCGGGTCGGGTCCTGGTTACCCGTAACCTCTTTTAAGCTTCCTCCATTCATGCATTCATGCGATTCATTGATTTTTCATTCCATATATCCGTGGAGGGAGCATGACACCCCCAGGTGTCATGCATCCATCGATCCCCGAGAAAAAAAAAAGGGAAAGAAAAAATTCATGGGTTGATAGTTTTCTATTATGACCTTTCCTTTATTCCTTGCTGTATCTCTCCGTCTCTCTCCTCTTGCACACGAGGAGGAAGTGGGTTCTGATCAATGGGAAGGGGGATTATAAAGGATGTAGACTATCAACATTAATGGCATCCTGGGATCCCCCAGGTACAAAGGAAAGCATTTAACCGATTGTTGCTTCCAGCCAATGCACTTTTTCTGTCGATTCCCCCAAACGCATCTCGACCTCGTCCCTTTCATTCTCTCTGCCGATCCATTCTCCTTGCATGCATCTCCTTGCTCGCATCGATACAGCGGAATTTGGAATCCGATCGTCGGAGATGCTTAAAAAGGGGGAAAGCGAGCGAACGTAATCGTAGCTTCTCTTGAGTTGACTGAGAAAGCCCACCAGTGTAAGCAGAGCCATCTATTGGTCATAGAAGCGACAGAGTCCCTCCTTTTTTCTTTTCCTCCTCTTGACGCCTGGATATTTATCTCTGTCAAAGGTAAACAAGCATGCCCAGAGTGAAGGATTGGGATGTAACCGGATCAGTGAGAGCAATCAGAGGAAAGGAACCCGGATCTAATCCCGGCGAGATGAGACAATATCATCCCAGCTGTCCCCCCCAAGCTCCCACTTATACAGTTGGTGGGGGGAGGGGGGGGGGGACTAGCTCCTTCTTCGAGTTTTTCCCCCCGTTTTTGCTTTATTCCACCTATCTATCCAGGATCTAGTTATGGGGGTATGTGCACGGAAAATTGAGAGGCTTCCGCACGTGTGAGTTTGGGATTCGGGTGATAAAGAGTCAACATTGGGGAGGAAATCGGCTGGTTCGTGCACCGGCGGATTTTTCCATTTCAGAGCCCTGTGAGAAGCAGAAAAAGAAGACGAATTTCTGAAGGGGGAAAACCGCCCTGATCCACATTACGTCTCGGCTCACTGATTTCTACCTTCTTTTTTTTCCTCTCCCCTTCCTCCGCGGATTCCATTTCCTCGACTGAAGGGATTGAGACCACTTATCGAGGGAGGGCGAGAAAATTAGTCATCGTCATCCACTGTCAGATTATCTGCTGTCGATTTCATTTTCAATTCCCCCGACTTCATCCTTCACCTTCCACCATGCAGGAAATTTGAAATTCCATACCATTCAAGTTTCTTCCGCTGCTTATCGTGGAATTCCCAATCTCATATATATATTTTTTCTTTTTTTTTTAGTGTTCGCATCGTCTATGGAAGGGGATTCCCGCGAGGATGAGCCTTATAGGTTAGCACGTGTCCATATCTCATTTATATCTCGTGAGACCGGCCTTGTTCTTCCTCCATTGCAGGTCATTTCGCGGCTTGGAAATGTGAATGCGGATGTCGTGTGTCTCTTAAGATTTTTTCCCCCCCCTCTTATCTCAGATGGCATGTAAGCGTGCGGGGAAGACATTTCGGTGGAGGGTCCGCGTCTGAACAGCTTCTCATATATCTTCATTCGCGGCTGAGACGCACGGCGCATCATGAGACATCTCTTCCTGTCCCTCCTTTCTCCTAATGGCATCCGATCACGGGGTTTTGCCTCTTTTTTCCTCTTCTCTTCCTCTTTCAGTCCTTCCAGGGTGTGCGAGCGTTTACATTGTCGCACTTCGGGCAGACCACAATCCAAGTCCTGGGACGATAATCGAATCATGCACCCCGTTTCCCTTGACATGTCTCCGCTGCATGACAATCAGTTGGTTTTTCTGTTTGAATCTCTCTCGTGTAAACTGTGCTGGGGAATATCCCAACGTATCATTCATGAATAGAGCTTTATCTGGTTAGGGAAGGGGGGGGGGGGGGGGGGCTCTTGCTTCCCCCTTCTTCCCCAAGCCGTGTCCCTCATACAAGTTGCATGAGGGGGCCGGTTGCCCATCATATGACTCAGTGTATAGGCTTTCTCCCTCTCATGAACAAGGACATTATACCAATTCCCCAAGAGAAAGAGGATCATCGTATCTCCCTCCTTCTTTTGAATACGCAGGGTCAGGTTCACTCACCAGCACGGGAGAAGCTTGGAAGAAAACCTCTCTACTAATGGGATTAACGCTCACAACAAGTCTTCTCTTCCTCCCACGTTGAAGCAATTAGTGAAATGAGAGAGAGGTCAAGAGGATAGTCGTAGCGACAGGGTTTCTCAATGAGATTACCTCGTATCCTCGCAAAGAAACAATCTCGGTAAAACCTACCTGTGCCTCCTAGGAGAAACCAAAGACCCTTCCACTAAAAGGATCCGAACAAAAAGGATGAACACCTCTCCGTGCTTTGTTCTTATACATTTATTCCATCAATCCAAGCGCGCCCGAGAAGAAAGAGTGATGCATCCGAGGAGGTAGATATGAATGAGGGATCAGGAGTAGAAGAAAGTTTTTTTTTTCTTCTAATTAGGAAAGCCTTGCACCAAGAAGCGTACGTTTTCTCGTGGGAAGAGTCACTGTCGCTGTCATTCCCAAATCCAGATCCACAAGGTGACGACGACCATCCACAAGTTGAAATATCTTCCTCCTCCTCCCCCGTTCCCGTCCCGTTCTAAAGCAGGAGGAAATCCGGCCGGGAAAAAGAGGAGACGAGAACATGATGAATGGGTCTCGGGACACTTTCTGACATGCACTCGTGAAATCTCTCTCCCTCTCAGATGAAGATGATCTCGCGGCACTTCCGCCACCCTCATTTGAATTGCAAGTAAGCCATGGCGAATCCTTGCCGTACTTCCCATGCATGAACTGCTTAAACCTATCACGGTCACTCTCCTCGGACCCAACATGCATAGGGATTCGGATTTCTTTTTTATACCTTTACACCCGGGTACGGAGTCCCGAGGGACATGTAGCCAGGCATGAACCAGTGAGTCGAGGATCCATTTCCCATCTCATTTATCGGATCAGGGACATGAATTCTTCATGCTAACTCCCATCTTTCCCCTCTCCTCGTTTTTTTTTTTTCGTTCAACGCATCCTCGTCCTCTAGACAGACGCTGAACAAAATAAACTTTCTTTAGGCTGTTTTTCTGGAGGAGTCCGAGAACTTGCTGATTTGTTGCATGCGAGAAAGTGTGCAAGTGCTGGCAGGGTTTCATATAAGTTTTGTCTCTATTAAACTTGTCACAGATGAGATTTATGATGGCTTTTATATTGAATTATCCAGTACATGCAAGTACTCAAGGGAGTGATTGCGGAGCGTGATGCTGAGAAATGGCGTGTCAAGTGGAGGAGGACAGAAGGAGGCAGGAACCATACAGAAATGCCATATATGGAAGTCTATCTAGAAATATCTGGACATTGCGTTACACGCGTTCCTACGAGGCTCAGGGAAGATGCCTGCAGCAACTCAATAAGGTAGACGATATGGTCCATGTTACCATTTCAACAGATATCGTACTGGGAGTATGAGAATTCATTTCCAGTGTAGGACATCAATTACGACAAGCACGTGGGTAAGACGAATTAGCGTATTTGTCGTCAGATAAAAATCTATTGTTGTGTGAGCTATTTTCTTTTTCATGTTGTTTAAACCTTACTAGCGACCTGCGGCCGCTACGCTGGCTGTCTAATGGGCAGAAATGTGAAAATGTTTGCATAAAGATATGAAGCAGTCGGTTCAAACCAAGCATGAAATATTTTCAAAGAAACCTCGAGAAGTTCGAAAGTGTTGCCGCCCAGATAATGCCATTATCATGGAGACCACACCTCACAAATAAATCACGAATGTGTCACGAATGGAAATGACCATTTCAAATCCAAGAATTTTTTCTTAAATTGTCAAGTTGTTTCCATTACGTTCTGGCCGAATTCGCAGTAAAGCCGAACAATCGGTACACGATTATCGATAGTCAAACGTTCCTCAGTCGTTTCCCTATAACTCCTTTCAATTGGAATCGACCACATCGGAGACACAATCCATCAGACACGCGACAGACAACGTGACTCAGCGCCGCAGGCGTGTTTCCAAATGTGAACGGCTTTAAATGACCCCCGAAAAAGGAATTCCAATTAAGTCTCAGGAAAAAAGAAACCATCGACCAAAATTACGGAAAATGTTTACTTGATAGAGAATTATCTCTTCTTACGAATGGTGTAAACTATCAAATCTAGCATTGCGAAGTAATTAATTTTCAAAAAGTGGAGAGGACTCTTGACACACCCAATAGTAATTGCCATTTATAGAGTGAGTCTTTTAAAAGTAGATTAAAAGTGTACCAACGTTTTTAAGGCCTAGCCTCGTAGGACTTGCGTGTTAGACTTGCAGATGAGTGACAACCAATCACCACCGCCTTCGGCTTCTTTCAATGCTTATGGCCTAGCCCATTGGTGTCCAATAGGACTTCGATGCTCGCCAAGCTTGTGGTGATCCGGTCACCATATTCGCCACATGATACAAAATATATGCAATGTTAATTTTAAAAAATGTTGCACCTGAAAAAAAAATCTATAACTGATGAAAAGCATCAATTCGCCATATGTAGGCTATTCACCGTATGCAGCGAGTAGCGAACATATTGGACACCATGGGCCTAGCCTATGGCCGAGAATGGCAGAGCCTTGCACGCATGGCGCTTTAGGATGTGGATGGCCAGACCTATGGCCTAGAATGCCATAGCATCGTAGGCCTCGCGCATTAGGAATGTCAGCCATTACGACTTTCGGCCTATTTCAATTAAAGTATTAGATTAGATTCCGCCTTGTGAGTTCTTCATTCGTTGCGTTCCATACAAGTCATCAGTAGAATGTGACCTTGATTGGGGTGTCAAAACAACGCAGCCTTTTTTTTAAAGGAATTTTAGACCCAGGAGGGGGGGGGGGGGGACTCAGCTACTGCAGGTTTTTTTTTTGCAATACCGGTAGCAGATACGTGAATACGACACAACTGTGTTTCACAATTCACACAATTAACCCATGCTAGCTTCCTTAAATATATGAATAGATGGAAATGAATTCAGCGCGAAATCTGAGAAGAGAAGAAAGAATCTAAGTGAAATACATTTCCTCAGAGGCATGTAAATGAAACGTTAGTTCACTCCCTATTTCAACTGCGGTATCTTCTCGAGCCCGTGTTCGTTTCCTCGCTGAACTCTAGTAAAAATGTATTAAAATGCATGTTGAGTAGTTGCTTGAACGAAAGCCTGACGAATGAAACAGTTGTGCAAGTGTCGACAATTGACGCCTTTACAGCACGAGGAAGATACATGAGCATGGAACCAAGGAGCGATGTTGCTTCTTTTTTCTATCGAGTAATTTTATACTAATTGAGAAGATATGATATGTGTGTGTAGGATGTAGCTCTAAGAATTTATTTCGGCCATCGGACTGATGATATCTGAGACTAAATGGCGGAATATATGGGCTCACATTTCTTTACAGACAGGGAGAGGAGAGTTTAAAGCGATGGAGAGGGTTTACCCCCTATCCACATAAAGAGAAAGCTAATATGGTCGGATATGAGTCCAGATATGAATCATCTTCTGGAACATACATAGAATTTCCGTATGGTGGAATTAAGCGAGGGGGAAGAAAAGGACAAAGCCTTGGAAGAATTCGAGATCGAACCTTTGATGTGTATGGTTACGACTTTTACAGGATCCCGTTGAACAGGCCCTGCTGGAGAGTCCACGATCACGTCAATCTCCCCTTTCCTTTCGCTCCTTCCGACATGGAACAACTGTGGACTTACCGGATGCAGATCGCACGTCTTCGGGGATCCGCTTCGCCGTCGTGCTCGAGGCTGTCTCCGATGACGTAAATTGCGGCTCTACATGAGAGAAAATCATTTTCACATGCCACCATCATCTATCTTCATCAGCGTTGAGTCGAGGGGTGATTGAAAACCAGAGCTAGGAGCAGATAGCTGCTCTTTAGTTAACAACTTACTATGCTGCTCATATAGCTGTATTCTTATGGCCGATATGATCTTGTCTTGCAGTGGTTGGATCGCTTTTTATATCACTTTCTACCACAGGGGTGGTAACGAGATAGTAGCAGTGGCGGCTCGTGATATTTAGCGCTAGTGGTTCGTCTATTCCTCTATGGAGAGGGGGTAGGCAGCGCCCTCCCCTGCCTACCCCCTCTCGATAGATGAACCACTAGCGTTAAATATCACGAGCCGCCACTGGATGGTAGTTAAACAATTTTGCCGTTCGCATCCCCGTGAAAATGTGGATTTTTAAGTAATCACGAGCTAAAACCGATAAAGTGAATATGATACCCAACCGTCCCTTCCGCACTGCAACTAGCTACTCCCAACTTTTGGTAATTGATGATCTGGGTAGCCGTCGAATAACTTATTTTAGGGCACTTACCCACCGGTGAGGAAAAAGAGTAAATTACCGTATAGCATTATGGTCCCTTCCGTCGAGCCCAAGGAGCTTTGAGCTTTGCACTTATAAGTACCGTAGTCCTGAGGTTGAATATTCTTCACGGTCAGGTCCAGAAAGGTGGTGTAGGAGTGGTGCTCCTCTTTCGTTTCGTATTTCAAGACGTTGTTGAGAACCGGTGTTTGATTGAAGAGCCAGTAGTGGAGAGGCCGGGGATGCGATTCCGAACTGCATCTGAGGGTGACGTCCGAATTCCGAGGCGCGTGGATCAGCGACCACTCCACCCGGATGCTCGGTTGAACTGTCCGAGAAAAGAGAAACCGATCGTCATCGGGGATTCCAAGTCGGAATTACATCTTCCTCGTCCTCGAAGGAATCAGAGAGCGTCGTGCATACAGGGGGAGAACGCACGAGGGTCCAGCCGACTTTCAGACGGCGGATTCCATTTATGGACTGCAGATCGCAAGTCATAGATCTCGTCTTTACTGCGAAAGATCGGTGAAGTAGGCATCGGAAAAGTGACGAGACCAATGCGTTCGGTAATCGTCTGGATAATTTCGACGTGCTCTTACGCGCGAAATCAAAAGCATTGAGGCCTCTCAGCTCATATTGACAGATGTATACCAATTGAGAAAAAAAGGAAACGATTTTCTAACTCAAGAGCTGTCAACCCATAAGTTGTCATCCATGGCTAGCCACACATGGGTCTAAGTGGGGACAACGGGAGAAATGAGAGCGGCTAGCCTTCGCACTAATAAAATTAATGGGCCCACATGGACCCACTGGACCAGAAAGGGTTGAAAATAGATTGCGAACCTGGACATTGGGGGGCGACCGCCTCCCCACCCCCCCGAATCCGTCGCTGCGTTCGACTGACGGAGACGATTGGCATAGCATTGTTGAAGCACTGATTTTGGGATGCGAGAAAGAATGCCTTGAATGATGACGGACAAGGAAGCTGAGCTTAGTGTCACACGGCGAGGGGAACGCGCTAGAACGACCACTGTGTGTCACTATCATTTTATAATATCACGTTAGAGTAGGGGTGGGCGAAATACGGCCCGCCAAATGATTTTATCTGGTCCGCCACTCTGTCTAGCAAAAGGAAAAAATTTAGTTCTTTAAGTCATAGAAAGGACCAACTTTAATCAATGAAGGAGCCGAGCTTGCTCGTTTCGTTTGTCATAATTAGGCCCTCTTTGCCTTCCTTTCCTCTCCTCAAAAAGCCATGTTTCGACTACAGTCTTTTCTAAAATGGCGCTTTATTGGGATTCAGGTTATTAATTATCAAGATGTCGTGCTTCCCAGGATGGCCTGGCCCAACTGTCGAACCTATCAACTCTGGGATTTGTGACTATCTGTGATTGGGAATCTAACTATTCCGAATGAGTGAGATTTTTTAGAATTCGAGCCATTTGGATGCATTTTGTCACAGACAGTCCTATGGGCTACATCATAGTGCAACACTATCGAAGATGAATGACATGAAATATTTTTGAGAGCGATATACTTGGCAGTCTATTTTGTGAGAATCTGGTAGGTCGAAAAACGTGATGCGGTAGAAGCAGCTATCGTTCAGTTTTTATTGCAAAGGAGGGAATAAGACCGACAAGCAATGATTGTGCTATTGAGGTATTTTCTGAGATACTGGAGTGCGGCTCTTGAAGCTCACCAAAACTTGTGAAGTGGCCCTCCAGCCAAAATAATTGCCCACCCCTGCGTTAGAGCAAGCGAAGAAACCAGAAGTTCCTTCCTAACCGTGAGAATAGGCACTAATTAAGAGATGGAACTTCTACACGTAAGGAAGCCCGATTGATGCGTTTAAGATTGTTACCGCGATCTCTCTAGGTCGTGAGCACAGTTTCACTGCGTGTGATATCCTGATTTATTCCGCATCCCTTCAATCTCATCTCAATAAGACCACGTTCCTTCAGAAACTCTTCCAATCAATTCAGGAGAGAGACCACCGTAATCACGTTCCATTTTCACGTGTCGAAAAAGAGGCAGCGCAATCTTATTTACCTTCCCGAAGGAAGAAAAATAAAATCGGAGCGCATTTTCTCGAAGCAAGTACGAGAAGCTCACATTCGACTTCTAGAGAGATTCTTTTGCTGACAGTCGGTGGGATTCCATTGTTAGCAATGCAGAGATAGGCTCCCATATCATTCCGATTCACCTTGACCAGGACGAGGTGCCTTCCCTGGGTCTGGTTCTCTCCTGAAACATCAAGCCATCACCCCAGACACGTTTTCATAAGATTGCAATGGTTCAAATGCGATGGATATTGACTTTGCAACGCACCGTGTTGTGGAGAATGACCCCTGATGGAACGATCGTCTTCTCTCCTCCAGTAGATGGTTGGCGTTGGGTTGCCGTGAGCATGGCACATGAGCGTAACATTCGTGTTTTCAGGCACTGACACTGTCGACCGAGATGTCTTGTCATCGTCGATCTCCGGTGGCACTACCCAGGACACCGTGCACGCGATTTTCACTTTGAAAGGCACTCGCGAAGCAAAGGAACGTTCAGCAAGGCACTGAATCCACTCGACCCTCTTGCGTACGTGCAGCCTTTCACTCAGACTCTTTAAACGTTTACTGTGGCTTTACCATAAACCGTTTTTTCAAAAGAAACTCATATTCGTCCATTTCCAGTCATTGAGCTACGTTCTTTGTCAAGTTTTTCTTTGCCACACGAATTCCCATACTTTCTTATTCTCATGAGGAGGCGCAAACCTTTTTTATATTGACTTCCCCAGCGTGTAAGACTTAACCAATGAATAAGTTTGAATAAAGCTATTATTTCGCTCGGTTACAATGCTAAATTTTCAAGACTGCCAAATTTCATCACTAAACTACTCCAATTTCCAGGAATCTTTGAAACATTGATCTATCCATGGATTGATTGAAACGGGGGGATCCATCCTTCCTGTTGTCGATCGGGTGCAGCGTTGGAAGATAAATTGACAGATTTTCATATCGACATCTCTCAGCTGGTTTTATCCCTCTCTCCCGGTTCGGAAGGAAGGAAGGAAGACTGGGGGACGGAGAAGAATTACGGGGGGAGGCAAGAGCTGGATTGTATGGAGATAGATAGAATCCATTAAGACGGGCTGAGCGAACAAGAATGGATCTCGCCGAACCAAGCAGACAAGCAGAAAGAAACAAGAGTGAAAACGAGAAGAGAAGGAGCTAGAAACTCTGGAGAATCACTGTCTTCCCATTCTACTTCTTGAGAAGAGAGCATGAAGTGGTAATGAAAGGAGGGTGACCCGTGGAGCGTGAAGAGTCGAGTCGAGTGTGTCCACTTTTCAAAGACTTCCCCGGTCTCACTGTGTGAGATCACAAGCTCATCGTTCGGTGTAGTGTTTTAGCGTTTGGGATTCTTTGTTGAACCCAGGCTAGTTCGGCAATTATACCTCGAAGAACCTATATCATGAGCGGTAAATCAGAAGTTGTAGACTTTCTCAGCCGTCCTCTGGGCGGTGATTTAAACAGAAAGGATATGCCGTTGAATGACGGTCAAGGGCAGTTTTTCCGCATATCGCTGAAGGAAACTAAGGGTAAAATGAATAATGAGAAGTCATAACGCCGTGTGTTACACCAGTGTCAACTCAACCCTGTAACACTCAATGCACAACACTACACCTCAGTAAACCATAAATATTTTCATTTTTACTGGGGTTATAAACGGGACAGGTGCCTTGAAGAAAGGAAGTAGAAAAACCAGAAAGGTTCTTACCAACGACTCGAAGGTAGATCGCTAGTGCTTGCATGGGCTCCGTATTCAACTGGCACATATACCTGTCACGCATGACACGGGGAAAAAAGTGTCTTTCACCAACGTGGATTTTTTTTTCATACAAACATGTTTTAAGTAAAAGGGAGAGGGAATGGGAGAAATGACCTGCCGGCATCGTCCTTGGTGACGCCGGTGATGTGAAGCCTCCAAGTGATTCGATCGGAATCGAAGGAGAGGCCGAATCGAGGGATTCGAGTTGCCACCCGGTCGTCGACAACGAGCACCATTTTCCGGTCCATATGAGCCCATGCCACCTGTCATAGGTTCATTTATTAGGCAGGAGTCACGGAGTAACGAAGTGAGAGTAACAGTTTATGCATAGTATATGTCAAATGTCTGGAATCGATGGGAAAATTTAAAAAAATTTCTGAGTTGCTCTATACGTCCACCGTTTTGTATTATACATTGTTACAACCGGTGAAGTCACTCCAGCCGGACGTTTTCCAGCATGGTTGGGGTCACTGTCTTGGAACAATCGACGATGCGATGCCGTAGTTCCTGCAGCTTAGCCGGTTTAACATTGTATACCCGCGACTTAATGTACTCCAAAAGGGAGAAATCAAGGGGTGTCAGGTCTGGAGATCTCGCGGGCCATTGGTCCGTTCCCCGACGGGCAATCCAATGGGAGAAGTGTTCGTCCAGTCACTGGCAAACGAAAGCCGCGTAGTGCGGAGGAGCACCATCTTGCTGGAATCTTGAAGAACACATTAATTGGTCCTTTCTTTTATGACGAGAACGTTACAAGTGACGCGTACTTGGCTACGATGGAAAATCCCGCGGTGTCGGAACTTGTGATATTGGAAATCAATCAACAAGAATTGTGGTTCCAGCACAGTCCAGTCCAGTCTATGAACCTAACACCCCTTGATTTCTTCCTTTGCCATCAAGTCGCAGGTACACGAGGTGAAACCGGCTATTCAGCAGGAACTACGGCAATGCGTCGCCGATTGTTGCAGGACAATGACCATGCAGGAAAACGTTCGGCAGGAGTGGCTATACCGATTGCAACGGCGTTAATATAAAATAATGGACGTGTAGAGCAACTTTAAAAAATTGAATTTTCCCATTGATTCCAGACATCTGATATATATTGTAGTTGCCTTTTAATTTTAAAATGAAACGGGTAACATTTACAAACCAGTGACATTTATGGATCAAATTATGCATCTCTATTAAGATAATTTATAGTGTTAAATTTGTTTTATTTACAATGAAGGAAAGACTGAAGCCTTCACTACGTTTCATTTTTATCCGTTTTGAGCGTTGATCGCTTATGGTGTTGAGCGCAGAAATGACCTTTTCAAATTTAAATTTGACAAGGAATTTTTAAAACAAGCTTTGAAAAGCAGTTGATAAAAATCAACAGGAGATAGTAAGAAAATGGAACATGAGTATTAAAAAATGACAAAACTCTTATCTTGTTTTCCTTATTTATGGAATTTTACTTCATATCACAACCAAATATATTTGCGACTACCGTGTAGGGTGAGTCGAGACAAAAGTAACAATGGGGTAATTTAGCAATCGTATTCTGCTTCGTATTTCAGCTAGTACATTAGATACAAATTCCTAATTTTGTGCCCATAACATGCCACTCTTCATCCTTCATATCACATATTTTGAGTTTCTCTGTGATTGGCTAAGAACGCGTTTACTTCAATCTTGCACACCCTGGAAAGAAAATTATGAATCTAATGTTTTTCTCTTTTGTTGCAATTTTATTTTTCATCCCAACTAATAACGTTAAAAATGGTAAAAATTCAGCATTTGCTGCCTGATCAAATATCAACCTCATGATCTCGAAATTTGAACTTCGGCCTAATCACATCATTTGTGGAGTCCAATGTTACTTTTGCCCCATGGAAATTTGTGCCGTGGGACAATTGTAACAACCTGGCGTGGGGTAAAAGTAACAAATCACATACAAAATTTTAAGAGCTGCTAACTTTGGTACATGAGACTATTTGTGGAAAAAATATATATGCATGACTGAGTATTGTGTATGGGGCTTCTTGCAGGCTGCATAATGGTTCGCACTTACAAAAAGAAAACTGAGAGGGGAGCGAGGAAACGCTGCTTCCATGGAAATCTTCCAAGTGCTGTGAATGCCATTAAGAATCATGCAATGAACAGAAAAATGACGTGAAACTGTTACGGTGTTCTGAGAGCACCATCCAAATTCTCCTGTCAAAGCTTCGTTTAGAAGTCCAATAAAGGTTTCTAAGTTATGATATGCGAGTTTAACCCTTTCAGACCCTGCGTCCACTCTAATGGACATTATATTTTCATTGTTTCAATGATAATTCCTTATGATTCTTGTGACTTTGTGCCCCATATTACACTACGACAGATGCAATTATGCATGGCACAATTCCGTCAGAGGCCTTCTCTCACCCGTCATTTTTGCAATCTTCAGTTATGTAATTACATGTATGATATACAATTTAATGGTATGCTACGGTAAATTCATACAAAGTATAACAACTATATATAGAACATAAACATTTTAAGTAGAATAGGAAAGGAGCTTAAAAATGCAAAAAGGTATATTATTTCGATAGTGGCCTTAATTCAGTTCTGAAAGGGTTAAGGTTTCTCTTCGTAGTTAGGTGTGAAAGGCAGGAATTTTATTGGTGTTCATCATAGCAAACAGGATTGCATATTTCTGAACTGGTTTTGAGGAAAGAAATTGAGGAGGAAGAAAATAAGGAAAAGTAAAGGGATTAGTGCAAGTGGAGCGGATGAATGGAATTTTATTTCCTCATTTTATTCCCAAATAAAGAGAATTCCTGCAGGCTTAAAATTCAGCAGAGAATGGCTGCAGCTGCTTCAGCATTATACGTTCCTGTTGCTTCATTTTCAGAACATATTCGCTAAAAAATTTCCTAGATCCATCTACATTTTGTGGAGTGCACTTACAGTCGACCCTATTGCTCCTCAGTACTATCAGACGGCACGTGTGCAGGAATGTTACTTTTACCCCATTCCACGGGAGAAAAGTAACATGAAACAAGGCTTCAAAAAAGAATGTTTCCGGAGGTTCCAATACAGATTTAAGTTCTGGAAGACATTGGAATCTCTTGGTCACTGTTTGAAGAGGTAGAAATCAATTTTCGTGGCAATATTTTTTCTAGTATTTTTTTTCAATCATTTCTGCGAAGTGCAATTATGTGTTTTTCAGTTATTTTTGCCCCACCTCACCCTACTCATCAAGTTTATTTCTTAAATATCTCTTAGAGTTTGCTAATTCAATTCGCTTAGGAAGTCATACAGCCATTTAGAGGAAGCACACATGCAGTTTAATTCATGTAATTATGCTAATCAGGCAATCACTTGGACATTGAAAAAAATGCAAACGAAAGTCGCAGGAGTTGGCTCCCTTGCTCTCTAACTTCAACGCGAAAAAGTGAAACTGCAACATGATCATTCCAGGCTGTCGAAGGTGTCTGCAACGTCATGCTTCAACCATCGTCGTCGCTGCCTTCGACGCCCCGCGACAAAATGAAGCCGACGTTATTCCCTTTCGAGTCTCGACCGTACCTCAGAGACCAAGGGAGGCTATTGAAACGCCACGTATCGGAACGAAACTAAAGGTAATGCAAGTCTTGGAGCAAGATTTGCACTGGAGATGCTGAGATTCGACTCGGCATCCTTTCATGGAAATGCCTATCAGTAACCCATTGATTGCCGCGATACCAAATGACTCAAATTTCGGATAGATTTTCAATACTTACTTGCCTAACACCCAGGCATATGTGAGTTGTTGGATGTGGTCCAAATTCGAAATGTTGAGTTTATCCAATTGTAGAGAGTGGGCTAAAGATTTATGATCCATTTCGACCACCAAAACATAAAACCAGAAAGAATTGTTTTCATTCAAATGATGTCTTCTCAGCACAGCGGAATGGGATTAAATTTTTGAACTGGAATATTCAAGGGTGGATTTGGCACTCCAATTATTTTGCTGGCATATGCCATAATGCAATGAATGAACTGGAATTTGAGATGTCTACAGTTTTCGTTGCACCTCTATTATTATTCTCTCCCCTTAGGACGCACTTCGAATTACATTTTTTATATACTGACAATCGGAAGATAGGGAGTGCTCCAATCTCCAGGTTTCCCTCATGATCCAGCAAAGAGATTATTGGCGATTATTGCCTCATTTCTCTTTCATTTCATTCATTCTCCCTCGTGTTTCTGTTGAAATCAAGCTGATCCAGAAATTAAAAAAAGAAGAAATGCGTAATGTCACTCGAAATATCATTTAATTCTTTATCAATTTCTATGCTTTTCTTATAAGACCTCTTGGATCACTGACGAGTCCGGAATCACCTCATCGCGAGTTCGTAACGAGAAATGAAGTGATTTTCCCCACGTTCGTTCCTTTGATGCAGAGGGTCAAACGCGAACAGATTGGGAAAGGAAAAAGACAGGACTGACCTTGTATGACCCAAGGTCCTTGACCTTGCAGGTGAGGGTGGTATTCCTCCCCAGAACGGCTGTCACGTTTCCCGCCGGCTCCCCGAAGTACGGCGAGGAGTTCTGGTCTGCTAAGCAAAAACGGGATTTTACCAGGGAATCAAAACCTTCACTCCAGAGTAACGAAATACATAAATATATACAATGTAGAAAAATTTATAAAATGTGCTCGGAGTGGCACATGCTTGGACATAACATAGTACGTGCTTTTTTTTCTTATTAATTTTTTGGAGGCGATGATTGGTAGGGACTTGAAATTTCTCCCATGGGAACGCCGCAGTATCATATAACTCTAATGAAGGGGGAGAGGAGGGTCATCCCAACGTTATTAAGCATTATAAGAGGGGAAGGGGGTGTCAAGGGACCGTTATACAGCCATTTTTTAAAGTTACAGGGTGACCCAAAAGCAGCTCCACTGTTTTTAACTGCTTGTCATTTCCTATTAAATTAAAATGAACACATCTTAGATAACACATCCCAGATGGAGTACAACTCTTATGTGTTCTATACAAATTTATTCCATGAAAAGCAATCTCGTGGTCAGGAAGTCGTTGGCGTTTTTCAAAAACAGAGCAAAATTTGGGCGTTCTCGGGGATCAATTTGGGATGTACCTCCTTTCGGGACAGAACATCCCAACTCTAGCTGTTCGCTAGAACCAGAAAGTGATGCGCGGAACTTACACATTTTCCTAATTTGCGTGGTCCCCTCTTAAATGCAACGAGTTCATCTTGGCGAGGAAGATAAACGAGCAGGGAAATTCCTTTATCAGGAAAAAAAAAGGCTAGGTGATAAAGAAAATGATTCACGAGTTCCTAAACCTAAGATGAAAGGCGTGAACCCTCTCCAACAATTCCGATTCTATGTTTAAGTCACGCAACACTCTTTGAATTTGGTGCTATTCGTGATTTTCATCGATAACAGCTCGTATAGGCCTGCTGTTCTTTTTTCTGTTTGGTTTCTGCTTACCTGGAGTCGGCAATGTGGCTGGAAACGTGAAATTTGGTTTTGCTTTCTTAAAAAAATAAATTACTTCTTGACCATGAAATTGAGTGTGATTAAATAAAGTTTTACTGGAATATGAAAGTGTTGTACTACATCAGATGCGAGTATACATTATTTGTTTCAATTGACTAGGAAATGGCAGGCTGTTAAATACGGTTGAACTTTTTTCGGGTCACTTTTGGATCATGTAAGACTTTGCTACTCGCTCACTCATGATCGTT